GGTTGGACTAGATGATCTCCCGAGGTCCCTTCCAACCCTTGCGATTCTGTGATTCTGTAATAAAATTGTTTGCTCAGGATAGGTATATTAACATTCAAGCTTGGTGTTTCTATTTTTAAACCAAATAAAAATTATTTAAAAGGTTTTTTCTAAAATAGTTTTCACATTTTTTGTATTAATGAAAGAGGCCTAAATAAAAAGCATCAAGATAACCAGTAAGTTGTGCCCACAGGTATCATCCACTAGATGCCACTCTTCTCAAGCTATAGGCATGGGATATGTCTGCTTAAAATACAACAATTAAGTATTTTCTATTAAAAAAAAAAATCTTCATTGTGGAAAAAAATTATGGTGCTCAGATTGTAGCTATGAGTTTTGAAGTTAAATTCTTGGATCATTTATTTTAGGACCTAGATAAAATTGCCTTGTGTTCAGGGAGGGCTGTGGGGTGTGGAACTTCTTTTGACTGACTTCTGAAGAGTTTTCAGGCAGTCAGCATTTATAAAATGTATACCAGTAAGTGCCCTCTAAGATTTTATGTATAAAATCTCATTTAACTGAAAATGTTGGCATCTCATCAGTAAATTGTTTAGTTTTACATCTGTAGGAGAGGCTTTTTTCAAAGCATAGTTTCTGGATATGAAAGTATTTTGACAACAAATAATAAATATCCCACTTCCTCTGACTTCTTTTGTCATTATCACCAGTTATCTGATATGCTTCCTTAGTCTACTCTGATAACAAACAGTGGTATGCTTAGCAATTGTAATTCAAGGTTTTGAAGGGTCATGGATTTGCTAATAAGGTAATGGAGAACATTTAATCATGGAATCCCACATTCAGTTCTGTCAGTGAAGCAACCACCTAAGCTGTTCAGTCATTTCATTATATCAAGTCATGCCAGTTGTACCTGTGCTATCTGAATGGATGGATGTTCTGTTGTAGCCACCTGGAAGCTGGAGCTTCAATCACTTTGTGATGTGATGCATGGGGTTTTTTTGTTTGTTTTGGGTGTTTTTTTTGCTGTCTTATAAAAGTATATTTTCTTAAGATTTTATAAGCCATTTTTACAAAGGGATAACTGGCACAATGGAAATGGCTTCAGTGAAAAAGTCTCCCATCCAAATGACCTTGTTCTTGTTTTTAAGGAGAGAATATCTGTGAAAAGATTTTTCACTTTGGCAGGCATACTTTCCATACATGTATTGCTTGTATAAGTACTTGCAGTTGAAGTGGGCTCTGTTCTTTGCAGTCCTGCTTCCATGTTGGCTGGATCTTGTAATGGATCTTCTGTTTGTTATCAGCTTGTTAAATTTCTGTGGTGACACAGGGTTCACTTATGATTTCATTGCAAGATAGAGGTGGAACGAAAGATGATTTGAGTTGGAGAGTACATTTGTTTAAATGAAAATAACATTTAGATATTAAAGTAGGAGAATGCTTGGCCATTGAGTGGAACCTCTTGTACAAAACTCAAAGAACTTTGCATTCAGTAACTACAATCTTTTCCGTTTCCTTCTACAGGAAGGAGATAAGCTGTTTCTTTGCGTACAGACACGTTCTGTCCTTCCCTAGTGTACCCACTGACTCTAGTATCACTGGGAAGGGAACCTAACTGTTCTGACTTCCAGTATTTCAGTCTGACTGCTAAAGGATGCATCTCCTTTGAAAAAGATTTCCAGTATTACTTTGTATCTACTTATCATTCAGAGGTTTGCTTTGTTTGCCTTGTGAATACTTGATGCCTTATTGTCCCACATTATTCCTTTTTCAGTGTTATGTCTTCTGGGTTTTTTTTTTTTTTCTGATAGGCTGATTGAGATTGCAGGAAACAGATTCCCTACTTATTTTGACTCAGATGAAAAGCTGTTCTGCATGACCCGTAGCGTTCACCTGTATCGAGAGCTGACCTGTGGCAGTGTACTGAAGAGGTATTCTTTTCCAGAGTTGTTTGTTGGTTTTTTTTTTTTTAAATTAACTGGATTGTCTGTAACAATATTTGTTTTATATCAAAGTTTTATGAAGAGTAATTCATTTATTTGAGGACTTTTCATGTTGATAACAGCACGGTCTCCAACAAAATAAAATTGCTACAGAAAGACAGACATTGCTCTTCTAATTTCATAGCATGTGACTAATCCACTTGATGTTTTCTAATTTCTGATAGACAATTTCTATATGATCTGATCCCTGTAAGCCTTTAAAGGGGAGTGTTCATGTGACAGATCTGACTTTCTCTTGGATTGTGGAGAGACCACAGTAGAAGAGTTACGTTTTCCGTGAAATAGGAGTTTGCTGCTCCAAAGCACAGTTTACTTCCAGGAAGACTGGGACCCCTCCAGCAGTGGGAAGGAGGAATCGTTTCACAGGTGTCAGCCTGAATGCTGTTGTTGGCAGCGTTTTACTGTCATGTTGTTACCTTGTGTTAATTTGTGAACACATTTTTCAGTGAAAATGAATTAAGTTATATTGTAGCATCATCTTGTGTATATTCTGTTAGTGGGAGAATTACTCTAGGAACAGTTTCTTCTTCTAGCATAGCTTTATTGGAAAACAGCTATTAGCATATTATCAATGGATTAGTTTGGCATACTGTCTTTGGAGGTACACAGAAACAGATCTGGCCTTCTGCATCTGTAGACACTAAGGATTCTGGTGTTGGCAATGAGATGCTGCTACTGTGAGCAAAAAGGCACAGTTTCAATGTCTGCTTAACTTGCTGTCTTTCATTCATGGGTTGTACAGCATAGTGTTGCTCTTCTGGAGAGGTCCTGCCTTGGGTTATGTGGCCCACTGGAGCCTCAAATTCCTTTCCAGATCTCTTCAATACATGCAGTCGTTAGTGGAAGTGGTGTGTGAAGGAGAAAAAGAGGGGTTGACTTTCAGCTTATTAAAGTAAACCTTTTATTTAAACAATTTCAGGGTTATAAAATGGTTCTATTGTGTAAATAATATTATAAATTACTTTTTTTGCTGCTGTTTTTTCTTTTTTTCAGGATTATGTCTTTGGAAGAAGAAATTATTTCAAAGAAAGTTAAACTCATAATAATTGACTCCATTGCTTCAGTTGTCAGAAAGGAGTTTGACACAAAACTCCAAGGCAACCTGGCAGAGAGAAGTAACTTTTTGGCTAGAGGAGCATCAGTGTTGAAGTATTTGGCAGAGGAGTTCTCAATACCAGTAAGTACTTCCTCTTTTCTTAAGTTTTTGCCTTACAGTATCAAGCAATCAAATCTGAGAAGAATGAAAATGACAGGAAGATGAAAACCAGAAAAAGCTTCTAGCAGCAATCTTCAAGCAGGTACAAGTTGGAAAATAGTTGGGGAATGGGGGAACAGTAACTGTTCTGCTTGGTGTTTTTTGTTGTTTTTATTTTTTTTTTTTATTTAGGACTTCAAATAAGGGCTTACAAGATTCTTCAGCTGTGTTTCAGTGCTTCGTTTTCTATTTCTTTTTTTCTTAAATCTCATTTTATTTTGCTGCCATTAAATATTACTTAACCCTGATGGTTCCCTTCCAATGCAGTGCGTACTCTAACTAGTGCGTCCTCTGACTAGGTGAAGATGTTTTTCTACCTGTCCCTTCTACTTAAGTTTATAGAATCTCAAAAGGCCTTATGCTCGGGAGCAGCATAAATTCCTTTTGTGACTGATAATGCATGCTAAGTAATGCAGAAAGGAAGGTAACAGCTCAGCGTATCCTTGTCTGTGGACTTGCCCATAATATACAAAGGAATACACAGACACTCAGTGCAGGAACTAGGTGGAACTGATTGAGAAGTGTTTTAGAAGATGTAAGCTGCATAAATGTGTGCGTGTCTGTTCATTATATGATCCATGGAGAAGCATATCAACTCAAAAGATATCGTTGAGGCTCAACTCTTGGAATTATTTCCTAGTGTGGGTAACTTACTCATCACTCCATTGTAAGAGAGAAACTGTGGCAAGAACTTGAGTAAGACTGGTGAGGCCTTTTCCCCCTGACTCTCCAGAGGTCACAGCAGCTGTCATACCAGAAATATACATGTCAGAGGTGTGGAACTAGCTGACTTAACTTAAGAGGAATGAATTTCCTTCTGCCGTGTAATTTCTAAAGACTTCTGATGGAGAAAACCCTGTGTAAATGCCTTTAAAGTTCAGGTACAAAAGATAGTGTCCTAGTTAGTGCACCCAATAATGTTTATAGTGCTTTAAAAAGCCAGGAAAGAATTGTGTGTAAGTATGTACACTCTATTTTGAGAAAATATTACGCAGTCCTTTCCAAAAGGGGAGAAGTTTTATGGGAAGATATTTTTCTCTATTTCTCTATTTTCTTCTCCTTTAAACACCCCCTGCTCCCTCCTCCACCTTCATTGAAATGGTGAAGCTGAACTGGATTGGAGCCTCTGACAGTTCAGGCTCATGCCCTGCTTACAGTCAGAGGCGCAGTGTTGATATTCACAGAAGTCTTAAAGTTAGACAGTATAAGCAGCCTAAGATTATGATCCTAATTCATCCTACATAAGAAGAAAATAAAGCTCGAATGGTTAAAGGTTTCCATTATGTTAAAGCTGATGTGTTTGCTTTGAGGCATTTACGATACCTGGTGTGCTGGTCTGCCCTTGTTTCTCAATGAACACTTCAGTAAGGAGTTCTGGAATTTGGGGCAGGAACTTGTGCTCTGGTCACAGCTCTGTCTTTTTTAATTGGTCCGTGAGATATCTTACCTTTTAAATAAAATCTTTAAAGATCCATGAAATTATATGTAAAATACACAGATTGAAAGCTTGTATATTTTTAAAGTACCTGTTGCTTAGTTTTATCAATTTATACAGTGAAAATCCAACTGTATTTTCATTTATCATCATCATTAACACACGTTGCTTGTGGGTTGGTTCTGGAGTATTTTAAAGATTTATTAAATTTTATGTTACAAAATAAACTGTAGTAACTCCTATTAGTTAAGAATTCTAGAAGGGCCTTGGTTAGAGATTTGGATTCTTGCAAACACAGATCCCTAGGCAGGGCTGTATACGAGCAACATGCAAAATCCAACAGCAGAGTGTTGTGCATCTGCAAGTGTTGGTGCATACTAGAGAAAGTCTGCTGTTGTATACATTGCATTAACCTCTGCTACCTGAGGTTACAGAGTATAGAAGGTTCTAATTCTAAGTAACTGTGCTGGAATTATTTCAGATGCTTTTACTTACCTAGAAAATCGTAAATGTAAATTTGGGACTAAAAGACCATTAGTAAGGTTGCAAAGCAATTTAGATAGCTATAAGTTGGACACATGAAACAATATGTCACGCTTATTTCATGATAAAATCAGTGAAACTAAATACTGAGTTGGGCAACAAGTAGGGGCACTCAGTCTTTGATTTGCAGAGTTGATGACTGATAGGAGTTGAGATCAGTCCTTTTGGCTGTAGCTAAAAGGTCTGGTGAAAAACAGAGTAGTTGACCAAGGGAATCAGAAATGAGGAGGTTGTGTACTATCTATTTAGCTATAACAGTTACTGGAGCAGTACATCTGGTGTTAGCAGTCTGGGGAGGATGATGAAAAATCAGCTTCCAGGCAATAGCCTTGAAAATGACTGGGAGAAGGAGAGAACAGTCTTAGTAATTAAGATGTAAGGTGCTTACTTTGTTTAGCTTAGCTAAGGAAATGTTAAGGGTTTCTTCATTAGTCAATATGTACCTACTTGAGGAAGAGGTATTTGATAAAAGCCAACCCTCTATTCAGCTGACAAAGGTATACCACAGTTCTGTGGTTGGAAGCCGAATTAAGCAAGTTCAGACTTCAAGTAAGGGGTGTGTTCTTACTGGACTAATTAATCATTGGAATGCATTACTAAACATAAATAGCTTCTTGTCACTTAGTATTTTTAATGGACTTTTTTCTCCCCATTTCCTAAAAAGGAAATGAGTTCAAATAGGATTAAATCTGGGGAAACCCTGTACTACCATGTTATGCTGGAGTTCAAATGGGTTTAATGCAGTTCTTTCTGTTGGTGTTATAAACACTCTAGCTGTTTGTGATTGTGTGTTCATGGTGTCAGGACATCGAGTTTGATGTGCAGAAGTGACTAGCATTCACAGGTTTTACTGAACTGAAAGGCAGCTGTTTCAAACCCATAGTAGCTCTATATGGTATGAAGTATTTGGAAAGAAGCTGACCTTAAGTGCCTCAAAACGGATGGTTTTTCTATAACCTCTCTGCACCTCTATTTTCAGTTTGTAAAATGGGAATAACAGAGCTGTTAGTTGTGAGGATGGGGTCATTACTGTTCAGAAAGCACTCATACTGTGCCTGTGAACAATGTATAGATGCTCATTGGAAAGTAACACCATCCTCAATGTAAAATTTAAATAATGTGTAATAAATGAAATCTTAATCCATCTTTTGAGATGAGGAAAAAAAAAAATACAAAACGCATTAATTGAATGGCACCATTTGAGCCACTGATGAAGCAAGTGAACATGTTGTGTGATTGTGAATTTTTACTTAACTTCATGGGTTTTGAATTTTTGTGTTTGTAAAGTACAACGAAACACAAAGCTTTTTTTCTTATATATGGATGTTAGTAAAATGTAAGCTGCTTCTCAAAGTGAAATATGATGCCTGATTTCCTTTTATGATCTCTTCTTCCACCTAACTTAGCAGTAAGCCTGGTTTCATGCTAGGTTCTTTAAATGTTGCCAGGGCAAGAGGCAGCAGCACAAGGTTTGGATCGCTTCTGGTCTACTGACAGGCCACCTGGCAGCTGTACTGATGACTCAACAGTCACTGAACCTTTTTCCTCCGTAGGACACTACGTTGGAGGGTCCCTTTTTCCCCTTCCCTGCACACAGCCATTACCAAACCCTACATTTTTCTGCCAGGTTTGGTTGAGACTAGCCAGTCAGATCAAAAGTGATTGCTAGAAACTGAGGACAGTTTGACTACAAATCAAATAAAAAGCCATTTACTTTTGAAGTCCCATGAATTTATAAAGCTGTATGGAAAGTTTACATTGTTTTAAAGCATGCTGTACTTGAGAGCATTTGGATCTGAATGTTTTCTGTTACCATGTGTGTTGGTGCTGTCTACCAGATTACATATTTAAGCAGCAGTAATCAGTCCTATATGTGTCCTGTCTAGTTTCCTGACAGCTGTAGCCTTCTTAAAAATAAAAGAAAACAAAATACGCTTTGGATATTCTTTCTTTTCTTCTTCCGTATTCATAGGAAACTATTATTAGTAAGTGGTATTCAGTAATAGTTTAGTGTTCTTGCTGGTTGAGAAAGAAATGGTATCTCCATTTTAGTGAAGACCTAAAACTAAAATCCAATATGAATATAATTGTTCTTGAGATTTAGCTGTTTAGCTTATAAAAAATGTTATTTATAGAACCTGTTTTCCTAGTTGTTAGTACTTGAGAAAATGTGCGAGGCTGGCTAGACATCTCCATGGAAAAGCACTCTAAAAGGGGCAGTTGCAAAACGAAAATGCTTTAAGCATTCTTTTAAATGTCAAATTGAGACTGAAGATGAAACTTGCTTTGTAAATTCATAAGGCTAATCAAATTACAGCACTGGCTGTCCTTTGTACTTTCATCTGGGTTGCATTCTTAGATCTGTGAGGTGAACCTTTGTTATTTATGATCAGCATGTTGCTTATCATTACTACTGGCAAATGTATAATATTATCTATCTCTTTTTAAGTTGTTCTTTCTAAGAATATGAAATAGCTTAGGAGAGAGACTTTCTTCTCTCACTTGTGATTTACAGTGCAAATGAAAGACAAATTCTCTAATGCTTTTATTTGCTATGCTAAGTAAGTTAACGGTAGTCAAGAAGCCCATAATTTCCACAGGTAATATTTTTTTCCCCTTAGATGCCACATGCTCCATTTAAAAATGAAAAGTTCACTTTATTGGTATTGATAATATGACAGCAATTAAAGCTGTCATAGTCAGTTTTCTTTTCACACTCTTAGTTTTCACATTTTTTGTTTCAGTGCTTCACACTCAGTTACGCATTCTGCTCTGCAGACCTTATACCCAAGATTTTCATTGCTTTGGAAAGCCAAATGTGTAGCTAAATAATATTTGGTTTTAGTTTTAGGTTGTGTAAGTTGTTTTTTTTGTTTTTTTTTCTTCTCAAAACCAATTTATATGCGCAAATTGCTTGACATCTGCAGTCCCTTTTCTGCTGTCT